AGCCCACTTCTTTTCATTACAGTAATAGATGTATTAGCACAGTCTATCTCTCAAACAGTCTCGTGGATTATGATATTTGCAGATGATATTGTGATACTTGCCGAATCCAAGGATGAAATGAAAGAAAGATTAGTGAGTTGTATAAATATCCTAGAAAAGCAGGGACTAAAATTAAATAGAGAAAAGACGGAATATATGGTGATAAGAGGAGATGAAACAGTGAGTATTGATATAAATGAATGGCAGATATCGGCAAATGAAAGCTGCAAATATTTGGGCTCCACTATACAAACAAACGGCACAATGGAAAAAGAGATAAAAAGTAAAATTAATCAAGGGTGGTTAAAGTGGAGATCTTTATCTGGAGTGCTATTTGACAAAAGAATCCCACACAAATTGATTTGTCCCTTCCTATACGTCTTAATTAATACCCATATTTTTATTCTAACCAACTGCAAATAGTGGTTAAACGGCTATTTTGAGCAGATTTTAAAAAATGGATAACTCAATATTTTATCCAGAAAAATGTTATGAAAGCCTTAAGATTTTGCTAATAGATGGCATAAAAGTTTGAACATCTATTAACAAAATCTCAAGTAGGCAACATAATTCTGACTAAAATATTGAGTTAGACGTTTCAAAAATCGGCTGAAATCGAATGTTAGACAACATATTAATATAAAAGTCGATTCAATCACTATTTGTTAAATATAAAGTTTCCTACAAAATTTATGATATACACTTTTATATTATTTGAATCCCCCCCCCCCACTCTTGACAAATATTTTCAATCAATTTTAATGAAAGCAAAATAATAAATTCTAATATTAATATAAAATTTATTGATAATTGTCAAATATAAAAGAAATAAACTATTAAATGTTGTAAAGATAGAATGAAAACATAAATAATATATTTTCCACTATCAAAAATCATATATCTCCCAAAATAGCAAAAATCATTGACGAATAATTATATACAACGAATATATCCTGTTTTAATGATAAAACACCAACACAAATAACATATTTTTCTTTTCCTTTTATTTTGTAAAAAAATTCCATTCCAAAATAATATATGTGTCAATTGAATTTCATATTCCCAAATCTATAAAATCAAAAGTTAAATAATCAGGTTAAAAATTAAATATACATTAAAAATTACAAGGTTAAATAAAAATATTTATTAAAACATGGATGTCACTCCCAAAATGGCATATGCCGCAATATAATCAATGCCATTCAAATTTATATTGGTATAATTAATAAATGAATGATTAAGCACAGCAAAGCAAAAGTTTATTTTAATGATATCTTCTATATTGTAAAAAAAATAAACCCAAGAAAAATTGTAGTATATAATTAATTGTTCCCCTCAAGAAATTTGTAGCAAATAATTAATGATTCTTCTTTGAGGTAAAATAACATCGATTCCTTTAAAAATATATTTATATAATTTATTATATAGGATTAAGTATATACCAAAAATTATTTCTATAATTTACTCCTTAAGATTTATTCACTAATACATCAATTTTCTATCATCTTAATGTTAATATAATTTCTATCTATCGGCCTTTCCTATCATCTTAATGCATTAAAATTTAAGGAGATTTTATAACCTAATTTTAATTTTACTCCAATCTCTACTTCTAATTCAGCCTGACCAATTTTCATTCGTATTCGGTCTAAATTAAAATTTATTTCTAAAAAAACACTTATAATTTTAACACAACGAAGTATTTGACCCGGGATCTTCCTTATCGAAGACAAAAGTGGCGACTAAGCTATTATGCATATTATAATATGTAATTTAAAAAAAATCTACTTATATTTGATTCAAACATATTATTTTTTTATTGAGTTAATTTTCTTCCCATAATTTTATTTGTTTATTTTTAAATCATTTTATTACGCGGTTCAAGCAGGAATTAATATTACTATTGAGTATATTTAATATTTTTATTTAAAATTGCTATCTTTTTTGTAAACATATGACCTAAAAAAAATTTAATCTTGCTATTTGCAGGTTTTGTAGTGCAAAACTATATACCAAAAAATATTCGTTGTCATATAATAATTTAATTTACTCCTTAAGATTCAAACATATTAAAATATAAAAATCACAATTTCTTTACTCATAAATTAAATTGTAAAATTAGAAGTATTTCCTGTCGAAGTTAAAATAAATTTTAAAAATATTAACAAATAACAGTTCATAATGTAAATAAAGCGGTGAATAAAATTAAAATTTAAAGAATTTTAGACGAATTATTGAATTTTTTTTGATAAAATTGAAGCTTATACAAATTATAGATTTATTAAATAATTAAAGATTTCTTAGTATTTTTTAAAGGGAAAACAATGAAAATATATAATAAAAATATAAATTATTTCTCTTATAATCCTTGTTATAAAAATTCATGGTGTAGGTGTAAAAAATTATTAAAGTAAATAGAAATCATTAAGGGTATTTGAACCATTGAGTAAATTGGTAATAACCTACTTTCAAATCCAAGATTATTTTTATCTTTACCTTGTTTTATATCAAATGAATAAATATCAATTTGAAGAAGCAAGGGTCCATGACTTATATGAAAATCCATGTCTTCATATGGTATTTTTGCGCATCTACTCATAAATTGTGTAAAAATATATAAAAGTGTTGGAACTTTTTATTTAGTTTTAAATATGGGCGACTTTATACAGATTATTCACTTTATCAAGAGTTGAGTTATTAGATAAATGTAGATTCCTTTTAATATAGCAAAATGTGTGAATTATATAGATTATCATTCAACCAAAACATTCTTTCATGCGGTAAGAAATGATATCAACTCTACCTTTTCATCTATAACTCCCTTTTAATAAAACTTGGTCTATTGTATTGTTTGGAATTTATATTTGGATTTAAAAGAGGTGGAAATAATTCTATCGGATTTTTGCAATAAATTTATATTAAAGATTCTGTAATAATTCTATTGCATTATCTGTAGATCTAAATGTATATATAAGATTAATATTTATATATTGTAAAATCTTCGATCATGCTTATAAAATGCATTTTAGATCGAATTGAACTTTGATATTTTTTAAAATTATTTTGTTTACTTAAATAATTTTAACCACAAAATTATAGATTATCCATAAACTCTTATATTTTTTAAGATTTCGCTTTATCGTGCTTTTCAACAGTTCAAACATTAAAACTCTGATCAGATTCGGAATATTTTCTTAATATAAATTATGGATCGGATCTTATATGTTTCTTTGTAAAAAAAAATCTTTTGGATCGGTTCGGATCTAAAAAATAGGTCCATGTAAGGTTCTAAGAATTTTTGATGACATCTACAAATTATATAAAATATATACCATTATGTAAGACGTCATCAAACTACTGCAATACCAGAACTTTGAATGGATAAGGCGTCATCTAAAAATGGTTTTTCCACAATAATATCTAAATATTATTTAAAAATTATTATAAAAATTTGAATAGCATAAAATTTAAAAAAAATTATAATTATTGGTAAATAAGTTTTATATTCATTGTACCATTATATAAAAAAAATATAATGAGAATAACAGTGCAATTATAAATTTTATGCAATATTTTTTATAAATAATATAAAATATTATGAATAAAATTATCAATGTTGCATAAGTACCCTAAAAAATATATGATTATAAATTGGTGAGTAGATAGAATGGTTGGTAAAAATTAATTTTTATAGATTATGACATATATAAGTAATAAATATTAGTCAATGACATTTTTTAAAAAAAGGTTCTTTCAAGAATGGTCCAAAATTACCAAACTTCATATTTTGCACTCAAAAATAAATTTTTTTCATAAAAATTTCATATTTTACACAATCTTCGAACTACAAGATACATATTTAAATTATTTCAATTCAAAGAATATATGTTAAAAATTAATAAGTAACAACCGTTGTCGATATGATACGGCAACCATTAATGAGTTAAATTTGAAAAATGTCGATCATAATTCACTAAATTGGGTTTATGACAATGAAGTAAATATAAACTTGAAAATATTTTTTTTCTCGAGATTTTTTGGAGGTCTACTAAACCCAACACATCGGCCTGACCCGATACAATCAAAAAATTATGATTATTTTTTATTTCGGATTTGAAAATAGCTTTTTTCTTGTAGGTAGGGACAGGAAAATTTGTCTTTCGCCGGTTCAACACTTTTATAGAAACGATATAAAATGCGTGCAATGAAAAACAGTCATTATAATGTTTTATCAGAGAATTTACGATGTAATTAATTTATAATGAAATGTGTAAATATTATGTTTTTAATTTTTTTAAAATTTTAATATCTTCACTGAGATTGGCTAATCTCAGAAACTAATCATCTTTCCATCAATCACTGATTTATATTAATTTATGAACAAAGTACTAATAAATCTTAAATTTTTATGATATAGAAACTTAATACTTTACAAAAATATGGTTTAACATTATATATAAGAAAGGATAACAGGATTTTCTGAAAAAGATTCTACATGTAATTAGACTCCGTCCAATCTCTTCAGATTAATTTACACATGTTTTTGATCAAATGCGTTAATATACCTAGCCATGAAATCATAAAAATTTATATATTTTTTAATAAACAACTACTGTAGAATCTTATAACAGGCGGGAGGATTCGATCATTCTTATAAAAAGTATTTTGGATCGAATTGAACTTCGATATATTTTTTAATTATCATGATTTCCTAAATATTTTAATAAAATTATTTAAAAAAATTAACACAAAATTGTTTATTTAAACGCATATAATTTTTTAATTTTCGCTTTTTCGTGCATTTCAACAGTAAAAAATTAAAACCTGGATCAGATCGAAATGTTTCTTAATTTAATTAGAGATCGGATCGTATATGTTTCTTTGTAAAAAAAAATCTTTCGGATGTGTAGGTTCTATGAAGGGTCCTAACAAATTATATAAAACGTATACCATCATGTTGGATGAGATATGGCAGAGCGTCTAAAATATATTTATAAAATCATTTTAAAACAGTATATTTATATATTCTTGTACCATTTAGGGAGGTAATTCTGATCGGTTTTGAGACTAAAATTTAAATTAAGGAACTATTCAGATTTAAATTGTATGATATACCTCGTTCACTAAATATTTTAACTCCTCCTAAAAATAAAAATATGATACTAATTATATTTATTTTATAAAATGATTGTTTTAATTCCTGTAAAATAGTCTAACAATATTAAATATTGAATAGCTAATCATTAAATATAAAGTTATATTTTAAATAAATTATTTTAAATTAGTAGATTAAAATAATCAAATCATAAAATATTTATTATTATTCTATAATAATTACCTAAATATATTATAAGGGTACCATTTACAACTTCTAAATAACAATTTAAATAAATTATAGAATAAACTCAAAAAATATATTTCCGCTGTCCTATAATTATATTAGGCAAGATTTAAGAAAAATGTTAGATTATTAAGAAAACTTAAATTAATTCGTTTTCTGAATTATAATATTACCTATTAGTTTTTGAGACATATCTTTAAATTCAAAATTTTTAAAGATAAATAATCAATTATTTTAAAGATAATAAATAAATCATTTCGCTTTGTGTAAATTTTATTTATTTTGTAATATGGGTTGAATAAATTTTTTTTACCTGAACAAAACATGTATTCTGCTGTATTTTTAACTACAATAATGTATTAAAATTATGATTCTTTATTACTTAGTTTTAAATGATATTTAAATATAAAAATAGCACAGATCAATAAGCGGCGAAAAAAATACAACCAGGGATAATTAGCAAGAAATAAGGGAATAAATTAATTATATTAGTTTTATATATAAAGGTTTTAAATTATATTAATATTTTATAAAATATTTAATAAAATATACTCTTTGATTATACAATTAATCTCGAATGACTTATTGGGGATAAATAGATATTTTTTACTGTAATTGCATCAAAATATTTACGAAATTAATAAATTCGTTTATTTCATTTAAATTAAGAATATAATTGTAATTTTTAACCTTACATAATTAATTTAACACTTTTATATTTATTTATAAGTTATTATTATTGTAAATTAATTTATTTACATCAGCGCATTAATTGTTAATATATTAAATTTTGTTTTTGTTTATAAATCTTTAAGATATATTTAGTATATTTTAAAGTTTTAAAATTTATTATATTTTTTTCACTTTAAATGATTTAATAAAATTCTCTAAAATGTTTCTTAAATTTTCATTCAAGTATCTATTAACTTAAACAATTTTTATGTTATTTTTATTATTTCTGAATCTAAATTGGAAATTATATAAAAAATAGTTTATATACTGTGAACAGGGTTGCCATGTCTCCCCCCATCATCACGTAATTTTTAGTTTACACGCAGACATCTTTCTCCGGCAAAACTACCGCAATTCAAAATCTCCCGCAAAAATCTACCACAATTTTTTTTTTAGTATTTTTACATTTTTAATTTATAAATAATAATTTTGAGAGACATTAATTAATTATTTTTATATTTTTAAAATAATTTTAAATATTTATTCGAAAAACATTTGTAAATTTCTTTCTATCCTGTTTTATTTTTATCCAATAATAAATCAACATCATTTCATTCATATAAGTCAGTATAGGGGAGTATATCAACATCGATTGCAATACAAAAATATTCTCAAATAATAAATAATACAGATGCAACTACATTTGCGGAAATCGTATACATCTATCATGTAGTTCAACATTCACAGAGCTATATCATCATGTAGGTCGAATCTTTTTCTCATGATATTTAACGACTCCAATATAAGTGCAAACCTTACTGGTGGCAGAACAAAAATGAGCAAGGCTATCACAAGTGTTTTAGAACCTGAATCCTAGAGGTCAATTTTAGACGATTTGAAAGATGGGCATCCATGTGCATTTCTAACAGATGCAACTAATAAGGGAAATATTAAAACATTTTCCTCGATCCTTCTCTATTTCAAGAATAAGAACATTTCAATAAAATTGTTAAAAATTTTTCCTCGATTAGTGAAAAATCCAACGATGTAGCTAGCCACATAATGGTAAATATAGTTGATTCAGGGTTATCAATGATTTGCATGTCAGCTTTCTGCGCTGATAATGCCTCTGTAAATTTTGGTAAAAACTAAAGTTACCGAATTGAGGCAGCATAATAATATATTAATACCAATTGGCTGTATATGCCATATACTACATAATTCTTTCAAGAAGGCAATAAATGTACTTGTGGATGTCGAAATAATTGTGATGAAATGTTTTAACAATTTAGTCATCAACTAAAAATTTAATAAATTAAAAGTGATTTTAAAATTTTACAAACCTTTAAAAAATACTACTTAAATAAAAATTTTAAAAGCTGTCCTATTGAAAAATTTTTTCGAGTATGAAATTGCAGAAGCATATTTGGGATTCGTTTCACATGTAGGAAATCTACTTCATGCAGTTAATATTCAGTTGCAATCAGAATATTCCTTATAAAAAAGATTCCTAAAATCATGCTCACCTCTGTTCATCTTTACAGTTAAAAATTGATAATAAATTTTATGGCGCTATAGCAAAAATATTACATTAAAATGTTCAAATAATACTCGAATTAATACATTTTTAAATGAAGCAGATATTTTTATTAAGACAATTTTAGAATATTTTCAATCAAAATTTGATTTTAATAAATCTATTTACAAATGTATAAATATTATGACTTGGAACTGAAATCATCAATTGGTGGTTTTTATAATTTAATAAATATATTAAAAATACCGAAAGACATTGATTTCTTGTTTGAGGAGATTGTAATTCTCTCTATTTTTTATGATTCGCCAAAATACTTAAAGTTAAATGTCTAAAAGCAGAGGAGAAATGGGTAGAATTTTTTCGTAATAACGATAAATCCCCATGCTTGGAAAAAATATGCGAGTATATCTTCTTCTTACCTCATTCTAATGCCTCCGAGCGCATTTTTAGCCTGATGAGGACTGCCTGGAAAAAGGATTGCTTTAACAACATTAGAGGCCGAGCTAATGGTTAAACAAATATATAATATGTCATGCCAGGAATTTTACAAATACCTCAATAACGACGGTAAACATTTAGTTCTATTATTTAATCTCAAATAAAATATAATTAAGTTTTAGCAATAACACCATAAAATTTATTGTCAATTTTTAACTCTAAAGATGAACACATTTGCAGCAAAATTTTGTGAATCTTTGTTAAGATCTTCTGATTGCAACTACACATTAACAGCATGTAGTAGATTTCCTACATGTGAAATCATTCCTAAATATACCTCTGCCATTCATTATTGAAAAAAATTTTCAAAATATAAGGACAGCTTATATAATCTTTATTTAAGAAATATTTTGTTAAAAGTTTATAAAATTTTAAAATTCTATCGATGGCGTGTATTAGGAACTAGAGGTAGGCGCAGGCTTAATTTTTCAATCACGACCTGCCCGCTGATGGTGTTTATAAAAAAATTACGCCCGTTCATGCTTACCATTAAAATATTTTCCACCCGACCCGTCCGCTCACGACAAGCAATATTTTGATTCACGCCCGAAAATTCACGGTGTTCTTAAATTTTTCAAAACTATTGCTATAATTTTACACTTTTTTTTGAATTCATTCTATTTTATTTCTCTAATTTCATAATCCATATTAATAACAAAAAATATATATAATCTATAAATCGAAATTTATTTAGAAAAAGATAATGTCCATCTTTTTTTATTTCAATTGTGAACGCCTTTCCTCTAATAAGTGATTGGCTACAGAAAATAACTTTTCTAGAAGCCGAATTTGCAGCTGATAAAATTTTACTCGATAATTTTCTCAAAAAAGGAAATGAATATTTCTGCTTCCAAAACTTCAAAATATTGTCGTTATTTATCTTATATAAATCTTTTAAGTTCATCTTCACACTTTCATCGATGATGTTGAAGCTTCAACAGAATCATCTAGAAATTCTCTAAAAATTTTTTTAGAATATACCGTTTTTTATGAGTGTAGGATGAATTAGGAAGGTGATAGTTGGTATTGACCATTTAGAATATATATGAGTTTAGGATAAGTTAGGAAAGTTATAAATGATAGTTCGCATCGGCTTATGCATATCATCTAATTTTATATCATTTCGCATTTTTATGATTGTTTTATATATATCACTTTCTTCTTTTATTAAAAACTTAGTCTTTTGAAATTCGGATCAAGAATTAAGCCTACCTTATGTAGTGGCTGCATAATAATCTTTTAAAAGAAATCTTGTTCTTTATTTTAGGGTTTTGATTATTATTGTATCACATTTAGTAGGTTAACAAAATTTTATTAATTTTTGTTTCCATAGAAAAACTTTATTTATTGTGGGATGAGAATCTGCTCTCAGATTATCCGAGCATTCTTTAAATATTGATAAAAATTTATCTAACTAGCGTATGATACTGATATCAATTATGGCTAATCTATTTAATTTTTGTTTAACAAGTACACCTGTTTTCAGAATATGATTGTAAGAAACTCAGTAAAGTTCCATCTCCTTATTCTCGCTATTACATTTTGTTTAAGGGTGTGACTTAGTTTGATATTAGCTGTAGATTGTTTAAAATTTTGTACTATTTTTTTACACCATTTATATTTAAGGCTATTTCAGTTAAACAATTGTCAAAAATATAATGCATAATATTATTTAGCATATGGCATATATATGCTAGCGTTTCGTCATCTTTGAATGCACTTATAAGATTTGCTCCGTTATCACTCACAACTATACATTTATTTAAGTAATTTTCTACTTCTGTATATTCTCCTAAAATTAATTTGACTACACTTTTAATTTTGACGTTTTATTCATCCATTGCCCTTGTGGCCCAAACAAATGTTTTTAATATAAAATCCTTAATGATAATATGTCCTGTAATTGTTAAAAAACTTAGATTTTTATAGTCATCCGTCAAATATCATTGATTATGGACAAGTAATTATTATTGATCATGCTTATCTTAAATTTTATTTTATGGTATATTTTTGGACCTATAGTATTCATGAGAGTTTTCTGGTTCACAACTTTTATATTTTGTTATCCATATATGTAACACCAACATTTATCTCTTGGGCTAGATTTAAATCCTTCACTTTCTATTGCATTTAAAGATTGAAGATCTTTACAAATAAAATATAACTGACTTTCTGTAAAATGTTTAAGCAAAATTTAGCATAAAGTCTCGAGATAAACACCTAAACATAAAAAGAAAATAGAAATAATAAAATGATACCGGATGTTGTTTATAAAATGCGGAAGATTTTTAGTCATAAATTATTCTTTTTTAAAAAAGAACTAAATTAAATAAGAAAATATATAATATAATTAAAAAATTCCAAATTTATATTTATAAAAAAAACAATTTTAAAAATTAAAATTTCCGTGATACATGGAAAATTTATATTCACGCCCGATCACGCCCGGGGAAAATTTTAAGAAGGCCCGTCACGTTCAGTTACGCCTTGGAATTTAAAATTTATTAACACTCACGCCGTGACCCACCGTGACACGATGGGTCACGCTTAATTTCACGGCCCGTGTCCATCTCTATTAGGAACATATCGCAACCAATATTGTGCTGACTCAATTCTGTAAATACACTTTGTTTTTACCAAATTCACTGAGGCATTATCAGATCAAAAAGCTGACATGCAATTTATTGATAACTCGAATCTGGTATATTTACAATTATATGGTTAGCTATGTCTTTGGATTTTTCACTATTTGCGGGGGGAAAATTTAATTTTAATTTAAATGAAATAGCGGAGGATCAAGTAAAATATTTTATTATTAGATGCATCTGTTAGAATTGCATATGTATGCCCATTTTTCAAATCGTCAAGAATTGACCACCTGGATTTAGGTTCTAAAACATTGATGATAGCCTTGCTCATTTTGTTCTACAAGTATAGTTTTCATTTATATTAGAGTCGTTAAATTTTATGGGAAAAGGATTCTACCAACATTGTGATGCTAGGTATCTCTAATATGTTGTACTAAAAGGTAAGTGATTACAATTGCCGCAACTGTAGTTTCATCTGTAATTTCTTATTTTTGGAGTATCTTATTATGTATTTAAACGTGATAGGTGATAATTAAGCGCCTCCCTATAATGTTATACACACACACGGTAGATTTCCAATTGCTGTCGTTTTGCGGGACATTCGCATAAAATATATTTTTAATTGTAAAATTAAAATCGTTTTTTTTTATAAAATTTTATCTTGTTTACATTCTTTTATATATAAAAAAGATCGTTGGTTTTTTTTATAAATTAATATATTTTAATCAAGATGTTATTTTATTTTGAAAAAT